TACAGCTGATCAGCTTAAAGCATACTTTTTAAGCAAACAGTTCTTTGCTATTGTAGTGCGCCTTAATATTCACCACGAATTCTGTAATGCAGAATTTTTTGTGTAAAAATCATCAAACTATTAAGAAAAGGCCACAAAACTATTTTCTTCTCATAAATTAATACTTTTCAACTAAATAAAAAAAAAACAGATGCTTATAAAGCATACTTATTGTAAAATTGTTACACTAATCACACTTATGCTTTCATTTCAGCCAGCAAAGTGTTAAAAAGTGCAGATATCTGACTAGAAGGTCATCAGCAATCAACAGCAGCAAAAGATAAGACGACACCAGCTCTTATTGTGAAATAATAAAGCAGTAAATTTTTAGTAAGTAAAATTATACAAGTAAATCATACAAATTCATATTGCCAAACATGAAACTTAGCTAGAAGCAATAGTATGAAAATTTCTTAAGCTATTGCTTCATGCTTTCTCTTATGACATGTTAATCAGTTTTAAAGAAGCTTTACTACTTTCAACTTACCGTTTAATGGCTACTTATTATTTTAATTACTTTTCCAGGACTACTTTATTGGTACATTTTTGAGTAACATTTTCATGTGATATGAACACAATTTCCTGACGACATCACAGTTCCTTCAACAACAACAGCAGTTACTTGGTGAGTAAAATCACATCAGTGAAAAACATCATCCTTACTACACACGTAATCTTCACATACATTACATATTATAGACAATGGCAAATCATAGAGTATCAGGAGCCTATAAAAGAAAAAAGAAAATAGCTAAATCAAAAGCAAAGACAATTGCTTGCCAAAATGACAGAATCAAATTTAACAGATATCAAAGAAATAAAATGAGACAGAGAAATTTAAAATGTCAAACAGACAAAGAAGAAATAAAATTACAGAAAAGAAGAAATAGGAGAAATGTCAATAAATTTAATAACAAATTTGATAAAAATGAATTAGCAACAAAAAGAAAAATTGCTAAAAAAAGATGGGAAAAATGTTTAGATGAATACGAACATGAAATCAGAGAATATTACAATCATATTTGCAACTGTTGTGGAAAATTATGCAGGAAGTCACAAACAAAAACCTTAACCATTTCATGTTTAAAAAACAAGATATACTCAGATAACTTTATCACAAAAGTATTTTTTGTCAACCCTAAGAGTGAAGTTTTTTGCAAAACATGTCATACACACATAAGTAAAGGCAATACTCCTCGTCTAGCACTTTGCAATGGCTTAGATTTTCCTGTGGTGGATAAAGTTTTAGAAAAACTCAACAGATTAGAAGAGAGATTACTTGCAGCTCGACATGTGTTTCAAACCCTATGGACAGTGAAAGGACCAGATGGGCAATATAAAACCAAAGGAGGAATTGTAAATGTGCCTGTAGATGTAGACACAACTGTAAATAGTATACCAAGAGCAGTAAATGATACACATATGATTCATGTAAGACTAGCAAGAAAATTAGAATATGTAAAGAACTATATGAGTGGAATTGTTAGACCTAAACTTCTCTACAAATGTGCAAAAGTCCTTGTAAAAAAACCATTATTTGTTGAAGAAGGAATACAATTATCAAATACATGGAAAAATTTTGATTACAATGAAGAATCAAGACTTGAATATGATGAAAATGATGAATTTTACACAACAAATGCTATTCATGAAACATTACTAACCCATGATTCACTATCATTTAATCTACTAGCAACCCCTGGTATAAGATTGGCTCCTGCAGAAGGTTACACTCCAAAAAGTGTACTTTTTGATCCGAACTGTGAATATCTTGCTTTTCCAACAATATTTGGTGGGCATAAAATGGAACCCAAAATTGGAGATAAACCTCTCAGTTATTCAGAATATGCAAAATCAATTGTAACAAGATATGACAGAAGAATATGTGAAAGAGGAGACTTATTACTGTTTATTGCTAAGAAACTGGAACTTCTGAAATTATACAATAATATAGGAATATGTTTGAAAAAAAAGAAAAGCTCAAACAGACAATTGTACAATTGTTGGAGTTTATGCAAAACCGAAGACTGCAAAAACATTATGGAAGAAATTCTTCAAAGAAATACATATGAAAATTAACGCAAAAAACAAGTTAATTATTATTGGTGACCTTAATATAAACACAAGAAAAATTAGCAAAAAGCATTTCTTGTTAAATTTGTTAAAAGTTAATGATCTTAAACTTCAGAACAAAAAACAGATTACTACGCATAAGAGAACATCCTTAACATCAATACTTACAAACACAAAACTGTCATGTGGAACATACAATTCATTCTTCAGCCATCATTATCCAGTTTACATATATAAGGCATGATATAAATGAAAAAAATTTCACTATTAGATACATTTTATCATTCTAACATTCTGGTTTTTTTTCAACAGAGTTATGAAAACAAGAGGTCTAAAAATGGATTATGTAAAACTGTCTGAAGGACAGACAGAACCAAAACCTAGTACGTCAAAAGAAACAGTAAGTATGCATAAATTTTTTAAATTAAAACAGATTCATTTATATAACTTAACAATTTTTTAATTTATAGGTGGAAGAAAGAAAAATAAGAGAAGAATTTGAAAACTCAACTTCAAACGACAGCAGTGATACAAAATTATCTGATATCGATTTAAAGAGCACTAATGACAAGGTGAATGAGACAGACTCAAGTTCTGATATGGAGGAAAACAAAAAACTTATTCCATTGGACAAAATTAAAAAAGAGGACTTATCAGATATTGAAAAGCAAGAAGCAGCTACATGTACAAATAAGCTAAAATCTAAAAATGTGAAAAGTAAAATTACAAAAAGTACTGATGATAAAGCAAAAAAGCCAGTACAAAGCAAGACTATAACTGTCGCCAATAAAACCAAGAAACATACAATGAAGAAGTCAGCCAAGATAGAAGAGGTACATTCAAAAATATACATTTTGGCTTTCAAACTAAACACAACTTAAAAAAATTGCATATACATGTTAAAATTCTCATTTTTAAAAATTATATTTAAATTAATTATACATTTCAGGTTGACATTGGGTCTTCTACTACTACTGACAACACGTCAGATGAAGATAGAAAAATGATGAAGGCTAGAATGATGAGAGATAAAATTAAAAAAAAGAAATTACTGGTAATCTGTAGAGCTACTAAATAACTTAACATATTGTAAACAACTAATAACCAAACTATTAAATTACAGAAACAGAAAAAAAAGGAAGCATACTCAAGCTCATCATCAGACACTGAAAATGATACATCAGACACTGACGAACAGCCACGCAAACAACTAAAACCTGTTAAAAGAAACCAAAAAGCTATATTAGAGACTTCAGATAGCTCACTTTCTTCGTCTGATATCAAGAAAAAACAAGAAAGTAATGCAAAAAAGAGAGGGACCAAAGAAAAAATTGAGGTAAAAAATAACAACACAGTATATCAACTTCATGAAAATTTTATGTCAAAATATAACAAGTAATGTTAAACATCAGTGCCCACACTCTGCCTCACGATCTCCATTATAAAATAAACCAAATTATATAATGAATATTTTACAAACAGGACACAACTACAAGCTCTAGTGAAGAAAGTGATACTTCATGTTCGAAAGACTCAGCGTCTGACTCAGATTCAGACATAGATACATGTGAGGATAAGAATAAGAGAAAGAAAGAAATGAAAAAAAGGAATAACAAGAAAAAACAGAAGAAAAGCAACGATTCATCAGATAATGAGGTATTCACTTTTAAATTTTAATCTATCAATACTGTTAAATACAATGTTTACCTCTTTTCCAATTCTGTTTATAGGATAAAGATGATTTAACCGAGTTAAACAATGCAGTAAAACTTACATGCCGAGATTTAAAAATTAAAAAACCATATACACTCTTGGAAATTAAATGGTCTAAACAATCCGGAAGGACTGGACCATACAAAATTTGCACAGCAAAGCTACAGTACAAAAAAAAAATTTTGACAGTCAAATTGCCCACTCCAATAGCCAACTATGAAAAGAAGCAGAAGGAGATACTACAGCAGAAGCTAAAAAAAAAGCAGAACCCCATATTCACTGTATTGAAGATCACACAGAAGAAATCTCCCAATTTTAAGGGAAAATATGACTTCGTAGAGTCACAATGGTCCTAAATTCAACTGAAGAAGCAATCAACCACTGACCAAAAATTTATTGTGTACATTATACACTTATAATTATTTAATTTTATCAGAAAAATGAAAATAATTTCTGTCAAAACTATTCCAGTAAAATACATAAGATCTGTACCTCAATGATCTATACTCGTATGTAACTCCGAATACTAAAAAGTTTTTTTAGCGCACAAAACCTTAATTGAAAAGGATATGTGCTCATATGCACACAGAAATTTATTTCTATGTAGCTCTGTTTCTTCTGCATATCATACTGCCAGTTATGTCAACACTATCTTAATCTAAATTTTACTGTTATCTAGATCAACATGTATCAGCATACTGTTCACAAGACATGACATAATATGAAATGTTACTTACTTTCATTAAGATTGCAGAAAGATTGTTGATATAATTTAAAATCAATAAAAGATTTTGATAACCTTATTCCTTTTAAACAGTCTATTAACATTTTATACTTTAATTGCAAGATTTCAGACACATACATAAGAGCAAGTAGTAATGCCAACATAACATACATTCAAATACACGATACTTACAAAAATACCAAAATAGAAAAAACACTACTTACACAATTATGAAACTGGGTACTAAATTAAACCATACACTGATACGTAAAGAACGAGTCGATACTTCATTTATCAAATATATTTGATAAACTGACTCTCTGCTTGTTTTTATTTCTATTTTGTTAAATTCCCACTTGAAGTTTTTCTCCTCTTTAAGTGAAAGTCTAGGTATACTGTATCTATGATATTGGAAGGGTACAAAAAGCTGTGCACCTTTCTGTATCAGTAGGAGCTTAAAGATAGTACTGTCAATGTTTTTCTTCATTGATTCATGTACATGTCTTATATTCTTAATAATTTGTGTTCATGCATTGAATATTAGATTCTAGGTTTTACATTGATCTTGACCAAAAGGGATATGATTCTTTGATTAATATTATATGACTTGGATGATTGAAGCAGCATTGGCTTGGAAGTAAATCCCTGATCATTAGAAATAAAATCAAAACTATGTGCTCACTTCCAGCCTTGCTCAGTTAAGTTGACTGTTCATAACTTCTTTCTTCTGTACCAGAGGTTCTTCCCTGTATCTTTTGGTTTCCCTCTGCCTTTTGCTTAGCAATCAGTATCAGTCTTGTGTCCTATGCGAAAATGTGGTTACCATTGTGCAAAGCAAGGAATCAGTCTTGTTCTCTTTAGTCATATTCATAATTATTTTAATTTAAGAATTCCAACTTGTTATGTTTGTGCACTCCAGTATTGTTTCTAGGGTTTAAGTACCTATGTATAGTTTGAAATGTGATCTAAGCAGTTATGATTTAATACACTGCCAAAATAGTAATTACAGTACTTTGCTTAAGAAAGAAAGATTTGTTTTGATATATGTGGTCTAAAATTTTTTGTGTACTGACTGCGCTACCGTAATTATATGCTGCGTTCTCTTGCAACAACCGACAGTATTGAAGTTCATGAAATTAACCAATCTTGAAAGACAGCTGCTGTAACTTTTTGTATTATTTGACGAATTTTATTTTAAGCTGTTACGATCTTATATGTTGTGTTAGTTGTAATTGGTTTTTAAGCAGAAAAACGATTCTTGGTGTGATTTTATTTTCATGTTATGAAAGACTGAACTGTTTCAAGAGGAAATAAACAGCAAATTTTCATGTGACTTTGCATTTTTCTATTTTTATTTACACACATCAAATCACTGTGAAATTGCGGTGCATATTTTTTAGACTTTCGCCATTTGAAGAAAAAAAAACGCATTTTTTTTTTTTTTTTCATTTTGTGTTGGAGGTTTAGAACCGACTCTTACCCTCACCCCAACCCCTCAACAGGGTTATCCATCCGAATGCGAATATGAATATGTGTACTGGGACACAAAACGCAACGATGAAGTGAAATAGTCGTCTGCCTGCCAACTGCTAATAACAGCTTTGCTCGGCTTGCAGCCAACGACAGAAATTTGACAGTTTCTTCAAATTGCTTGCTTACTGCCCCTGAAATATTCATTTCCTTACAAAAACTCTTCTGTCATCATGGAGGAACAAGTCGACGAAAGGTAAGATAACTTGACATTAAAATTTATTTGAAGGTTATGGAGATTTGATGGCAGTTTGTCTTCAATACTTATCCCTGAAGTTGCTGGTAGTTTTCTTTGGTGAACTGAATTTAAATTATTGTCAACTAATTTCTTACAATGAGAATGTGTAAATAAATTGGTTAACCTGTTTTTCCTGAAAGTTGCTTAAAAATTACTATCAAATATGCTCAAGTTGTTTGCACAAAGTTATTTGTGTTCTTTTGAGACCAGAAATCATTGTTTTTTCTATGTTTTAAAGAGTACTGGAGGAAATAGAAGCACTCGAAGCTATTTTAATGGATGATGTATCAGTGAAGAAGTCAACTGGGTAAGTTTTCGGTGTACTTGAAAGAACAATATTTGTCTGAAACTTCACTTGTTTTAGATCTGATGATGTGATCTGTTTTTTTTTTTATTTACATTGTTTCCACCAGAGGCACACCTTACCTTGTTGAAGCTGATGTGTTCCCTGCAACTGCTGACGACACAGATCAACAGTATGTTCGTGTTACACTTGAGGTGAAACTAAATCCAGGTTACCCTGACAATCCTCCAGAAGTTTTGTTGAGGAATCCAAGAGGTTTAGATGACGAACGTCTTCGAGTTATTATGGAGCAAATTGAAGAAAAATGTCAGAGCTGTTGTGGTGACCCTATACTGTATGATCTGATCGAGGTAAACTTTTTCTTCTGAGAATGTGATTAGTTGCACAGATGTAAAATTGTTTTCTGATATAAAATAATTGTATTTGCAGTTGGTACGTGAGCATCTCACAAGCAGTAACTTACCAGCATGCCCGTGCACCATTTGTTTGTATGGTTTCTCGGATGGTGATCACTTCATCAAAACAACTTGCTATCATTACTACCACGCTTACTGTTTAGCTGAACATGCTACTAAAACAGAAAAATTCTTTAGAGAGGAGCAAGAAAAACTTCCCCAATTCCAACGCTCTCAAACATTTGAGGTAATTATAAAATATTTTGCGGTCAAACCTGAGATTAAGGAACCTAAAAGAAATTTTTGATGAAGCTACTAAAATATTCTATATAAAACTGTGTTGAGCATACTTTTCTTGTTTCCACAGGTTCTCTGTCCGATATGCCGAGAGCCTATTAAATGTGATGTTGAAACTCTTTCAAAAGCTCCACTGCCTTTGGCTGTGCAAAGTGCCAGCATTATGGAACCGGATGCCAAGTTACGTGAATTGCAAGATTATATGAGTGCTTTGTACATTCAACAAAAAGAAAAAGGGGGAATAATTGACCCTGATGCTGCTGATAGCAAAGTCCTCCTCGTCAACGAACCTGTAAGACTTCATTTGTTTTTCTTGTTCAAGTACCTATATCACAACTGCTATTCTTCATAGCTGTATTCAATCTTGTTATAGTTCCTTTAAAGTTTGTTTTCCATTTTTTATTTATTTATCTAGTTGAAATACACAGCTGTTGTATAACAAAAAAAAAATCAACAATTGCAATTATCTAGAAGATTTAGTGCTTTCTGTAGTAGTGGTACTGCATGTATTTACTAGTGCTTGCTTTTCAGTTATATTGTATTTTGTTGTATGTGCTTTGTTGCAGTATTATGTAGTTATTAAAAGTTCTCAAACTGTTGTGGGCTCATCCACAAGTAATTCAAATCACCTTTATGGAGGTGGTGAGAGCTGTACCAACACTGAAGGGGTGAGATTATGTCTAGAGTAGTTACGTACCTAAATGTTTTATTTTATTGTGTGCCTTATTTCCACATTAGTATCACTTCCCTTCATTCCTGAAATCAAAATGCCTTTTTAATTAAGTATGTTTTCTTCATCTTCAACTTATTCAAAAAATATTTTCTCTGGGACCTAGGCTCCGCCTGAAGAAGAGACTACCACCCCTCGATGGAGGCAGCGCCAGTTAGAACAACAGGAAAGACAGCGGCAGCGAGCAATGCAGCAAAGAGATGGTCGTCCTGTACAGCAACCTAAATCTTCTAAACCACCCAAACCAGCTAAGGCTAATGACGACGATGAAGAAGGCGAAGGAGAACCTCAGCGCAGTATTGGGCGGCAGCGCCGTGGTCGAGGACGTGGTCAAAAGATCAACCATCGCAATAGATGACAAGAAATCATAGAGCCCTGGGCTGGGCCACATAGATGGTGTCATGACTGGCTACAATCGTTCCTCCACTTATCTTGTAGGAGATATCATTTACTTTACCATTTGCTATCCTATTTAATATTAGATTCTATTACTCTTCAAAGCGCTGTGTTTAGGATATTGTCATTGACAAGCACTAAAGTCTTAATTGTTCAGTCTTTCCTCTAAAATTCTTGAAGTGGAAAGCGAGTGCGTTATGTGTTCATGTTCTATATCCATGACTGAAGATGTGATATTGCTACTTTTCCTCTTTTTCATTGGCAGTTCATTGTAGAAATTTGGGTTGTTATGGTTTGGGATGAGAGTGACATATTAGACCAGTAAAGATAAAATCAGTGTTTAAAAAAATATTACTGTAACAGGATTGCACAGTAAGTTATTTAGAGCTGGCTTGTTACCCTTCTGGTAGGGCATGTGAATTTATGTGAATTTTCTGCTTCTTGGTAAAGTTATTTGATTGGGAAATTCTGATGTGAGAGAAATCTGAAAACCATGTATTACTGTGCACTGGTTAAACCCTAAACTGTGACTAAACCAAAGAGTAACAAGCTTGACCGTAATGTTTGATTTCATATCAAAAATTTGTGAAATTTTTTGTAAATCATTTCAGCAGAGTGGTATTGGCATCCTGTAGATTTGCAACTACTATGGCATGTAATGCTAATGCTCTATTAAAATATGTATTTTGCTGCAAACCACTTTACTTGTTTTTCATTCGTCATCATTGTGTGCTTCATAAATTTTAGACATGTTTCAGTATCTACTCTCTTTAGCAGAGAGTGTTTTTAGGTGTGAGTGTTCCTGTGCATATCATGTAATGTTGTGGTTCTTTATTAAAATTAATTTATTTGCCTTGGCTTTATTGGTAGTTACCTTTTGCTCCAGTTGATGAGCCTAAGTCTTGTAAAATGTCTATTGTTACTTTAAATTTTGAGAGATATAATAGATGTAAACTCAAGAATGTAGTCTATGTAAACCAGTACTCTGTCCTCTGAAGTACCATTCTTCCCAAATTGACCACTTTGGAACTTGATTTCCTCTGTTATGAATTTTATTTCATGATATTTTGTTTGTGGTAAATGTGCTCATTCCATAGGTTTTAAGAAAATAGGATTGACGCAATTGGGCTTCAGTGGTTTCCTTATAATCTAAGGAATAATTTGTAACTGAATCAGCTAGTCATACCATCTATGAAGGATGAAGCACAATCTTAAATTTTTGTTATTGTCATGCTTTTATGGGTACTATTTTGTAGCTCTGATTCTCTTTATTCTTCTTGCAATGGTTCAGTAGTAGAGGAGAAATCTTTGTGATTTAATAGCGTCAGAAAATTTTGTACCTGTATTTAAGTTAAAAGCTCAATGTTTTTTTATTTACCTTTGAAGTAGTGTACTGCGTGACCGTGAATGGCACCATTAGTTTGGGAGCTTCCTAAAAAGTAAGCATTGGTTTTTACCACCTTGGTTTTTACTATTTGTGTTATTCTTTGTTTTATGAGTATATTATTTATCTAAATATTTATGGTTATTTACTGGGCCATTTGCAATATTGCATAGTAGAGTCCCAAATCTCTAAGTATGAAGTCATGTGACTTCTTGTCTTTCTAAAATGATAAAGGTAGCTTGTAGAAATCCTTGTGTTTCCCAAATGTTTGCACTACTTATCTAGCATAAAATGTAATGCAACCAAAAGTAAAGGCTTGTCAATAAAAGTAATTTAATGCTTGTACTTGTTTTTAATCCCCCCCCCCCCCTTCCACTACCACACGCACACCCAACAGAAAAAAAAAATTAATTGAAGACATCACAGCGCCAACAGTTGCTGGCAGGTTAGCAGAGCATTAACGGGGTGAATATTTTCAGGGACTGAAGCATGACTGAAGATAAACAGGTTCAAATAACTAGGAAACAGCAACAGAAGACCGACCAGCTCAAGTGCCCAAGTCTCCAGGCCAGAGCTCATCTAGGGCTTCCCTCTCCTGTGAACTGCAATATGCACACAGGAAGTGGGTGGATCTGGATCCTTCAACATCTTCTGCTTGCTTGTTGACGTCAGAAAACAATAGCCCGTTGATTGAAACCATTGAGCGCATAATTCCTATATTGGTGTGCTAAATACCTGAAATTTTTCAGTTTTTATTGCTTTGGTACTGAAACGAGACGATCACGTTCTTTACTTTCGGTTGGCAATTTTATTTGGAGCTGTCAAGTTATGATTTAGCTTGGAGTAATGTTCACCTAACCTCTATATCCGAGGCTGACTTCGTACATTTTAAATTCAAGCCAGTGTCTCATTATGTCTGATAATTTAGAGAATAATCCGTTTTTTGGCCTCTTCGGATCTGTGAAAGATGCAAATTCTTTTACCCATCAGAATGATGATAATGGAAGCTCTTCAAACAGTGATAACTCAGAATCAAAAACCACTCAAGAGGAAACAAGAACCTGTGAAGAAAACCCTAGACAAAAAGCTGTGAATGCTTTGATTGAAGATGTGTTTTGCATAACTGTTTCAAAGAGAGTCCTCTCTCAACCATTGATTTTGGTGGAAGAAACAGCTGCGTCAATAGAACCATCAGACAAACTTGATGTAAATTCCTTAGAGCAAGCTCTTTTTGAACGTTTGTTGCTGGAAGAACCAGCAAACCACGTCATAAAGCCCTCAACTTTAGGGAATTCAGCCGTAAATCATCATGTCATTGAAAAGGACGTACTCTCATATTTGTTTGAATGCCATAAGCAATTAATGGATATGAAGAGATGGAAGCCAGATCTTGAGGAAGACATTTCTAGCATGGATCTCCTTGTCATTCGAAACTTTGCAACTGCTCTCACCCAACCAGAACTATATGGAACACAGCGTTTACATATTCAATTCTTAGATATGTTCAATGATTACGATAATGCGATGGATCACCTGAGTTCTCTGATTTCTTCCCTTGTTGATATGATAATTAGTGACGAAGGTGTTGAAGCAGGATCATGTTCTTTGGCCAGGGCACTAAAACCAGTTCTTGATGAAGTCAAAGATAGAGCCAAGAACAGCAGCCTTTTAACACTCAACCGTTATCACATGCACCTTATTAAATATTTTTCCTCAATTCCAGTTCTAGGTTGGTAAATGTGTCAGTAAATTAATGCAAATTATATCAAATTTTGTGGTACTTACTGTACAAATGTCTGTAGGTGATATATTACTACAACACAGTACCCCAAGAGATGGGGAAGGTGTCGTCTATGCAGACACACTATTTGGAGCTATCTTGTCAACGTCATGCCTGCCAAGGACTGGTATCACATATCAACCCTCTGAGCAGGTTGAACATTGTTTTCAAATACTTATCTTACCAATTTCTTTTTGTTTTTTTAAAGGATGTGAAATGATATTTGTTCCATTTTGTTTTTAGTTCCAATTTGATCGCAGTATGGAGTCTGGATTTTGGACTGGACTAAATTTCATATGTGATTCTATGCACACAGTCTTTTTTAACCTTTTCAAAAATTCTATGACATCTCGACATGCTTTACTTTTGTGGATTGGCAAATGCTTACATGCTAATGCTAAACGAGGAAAGCTTTCCAACAGCCATGAGAATGAACTTTCAGCGTTTGTTGCTCTTTCTACTGTATCTGATGGATTTATGATGAACCTAGGTGGAGTGCTACTACGCCTCTGCAAACCATTTGCAGGCAAACCATTGGCATTTGCCAAATTGCTTAGAGTTGATCCAACATATTGCACTGTCCAGGTATGAACTATCTTGGTTAAATAATTGAGATCGTATTGTATTCTCAGGATATCCCTTTTTTATAACAAAGTCATTTTTAAATTTCAGGTTCAAGATGAAACAGAAGCAAATGAAAGATGGGTGCACATGAGAGGAATGTCATCAGAAACATGTCTCATTTCTTTGAGTGGGAATGATGATGGTCAACCTACAGAGCGTCCATCTGCCCCCTCATTTAATTTTGTAACAGAAATGTTTTTCATGACACACAGGGCATTAGATTTAGGTATGCGGGTTGTCTTTGGAAAGTGGATGCAACTCAATCAAGAGTTGGTTAGGGACCAAAGACGCTTAGAGCAAACTCAAGCTAGGTCACCAGAAGCTGCTCAGACATTTCGTCAAATTTTGGATTCCAACATGACAAGGTATACATCCAACATTATTTTGTGAAAATTTTAAATTTAACGAAGTATTTTCAATTTATGTCCTTTTTTTTAGATCATTTGCCATGAGAGCTACCCTACTGGAGCCAGGCACAGTATCTTTGCTTGGCGAATTTTTTGTAGCCTCAGCTGAATGGTTGGTTCAAGTTGCTATTCAGCCTCCAAGAATAGAAGGATCTGCAAGCTATGCTCCTTTAGAACGCCGTAATTTGTCTTTCCCATTGCCGGACTTTGTTCCTCCAACTTTGAGCTGTGTCCCTGAGTTTTTGGTAGAAAATATTGCTTGCTATCAGAGTATGGTCCGTCGCTTTGCTCCTGAAACACTTGAGCAAAATGGAACAGATTTCCTTGTGCCTCTTCTTAGCCAAGTGAGTGGTTTTACATCAAACCATTTTCACTTTTTATGTCTTCCTTGTTTTTTCATTCTTATTTCTGTTTTTCAGGTCCTGGTGTTTATGGGGTGTAAACAAAGAATGCGAAACCCACATTTAAGAGCTCGCCTTGCTGAATGTTTGGAGTCTCTCCTACCTCACAGTGATAGTGTAGCCCCTGGTCATCCTGCTCAACCCTCAAGCATCAATCGTGAGAATCTTTTTAGAAACCACCCTCACCGAGCTCAGGTTGGTCACATCACCATTGAATCTTCAAAAGTACTTTTGGGTCCTCCATGAATTATTTTAAAAATGTGATCTATAATATTTTCAAACTCTCTAGATTGTTCCATGTCTACTCGATGTATTTGTTGGGATTGAAGTCACTGGAGAAAGTGTTGCATTTGAACAGAAGTTTAACTATAGAAGGCCTATGTATGTAGCTATGGACTATTTATGGACTCTTCAAGAGCAAAAAAAAGTGTTTAAGTAAGTGGATTAACGATGGAAGATCATAACTTTATTTTACCTACTTTCCACATTATTGTTTGTTGAAGTGGTTTGGTTTAACATTAATGTATCTCCTGTTTGTTAATGACTATGTTACAATTTTAGTGAGCTCGCTGTTTATGCTGAGGCTAATATGGGGGCTGTCCAACCTCCATTATTTCTTCGCTTCATCAATCTCCTCATGAATGATGCAATCTTTCTCTTAGATGAGGCTCTAGATAATATGGCTCTTTTGAGAAATATGCAGAATGCAAGGTAATACCTCAAATTATTGTTGTGAGTTGGTCTCTCAGTGGCTCTCACAATATTTTCATCTGAAATGTATACTAAAATAGTTACTGTGTATTTTTTGTTTGTTTGTTTCTGTAACTATCCAGAACTAATGGAGAATGGGATAGATTAAGCCCAACTGAAAGGGAGCAAAATGAAGGACGGTTTACGCATATTGGTATGATAGCCAGGTAATTTGTAAATTTTAACTGTCTTTGTGAAAGCAACATCTTAAAATGTTTTTTAAAATGACTATTTTTTCTCTTCTGGACCAATTGTATTTTGCAGATTTGATAATATTCTTGGGAAAGAAACTATTCATACTCTACAGTTTATTACCACAGAAATCACATCAATATTTTGTGATCCTACCTTGGTTGATCGTATTTCTTCCATGTTGAACTACTTTCTTGTTCGTCTTGTGGGACCAAATAAGAAAAACTTTAAGGTAGTCATAATAATATGAAAATTTTGGTGTTCCGTACTTAGCTTGCCCTGAGTTATTCCCATATATGTTTTTCAAATAGGTGAAAGATCAGCAAGATTATGACTTTAAACCTGCAGATTTGGTGTTAGATATATGCAAGATCTACATCAACCTGGGGAAGAGTGATGAGTTTTGTCTAGCAGTATCCAGAGATGGACGTTCTTACAGCTCTAACTTGTTTAACTTGGCTGAACAAGTGCTTGGTAGGAATGGTTCAGTTTACTTGAAGTAGTGAATTATTTGAGTGTTTTGCTTATTTTTTGAAAACTTTTTCAGTACGTATTGGAGGTGGAATGCTTATTGCAGATCTTATGCAAGTAGCATCAAAGATAGCTGAATTAGGAGTTCAGCAAAACAAAGAAGAAGAGCTTTTTGCTGATGGACCTGAGGAATTTTATGACCCTCTCCTCTCTACCTTAATGACAGACCCAGTAATACTGCCTTCATCTAGGACTGTAATTGACCGAGACACTATAGCTAGGTATGTCTTGAATACACCTTGTCTGGTTCCTATTTTAAAGTTTTCACTACTGAAAATAAAAACACATCATTAACTTCAAAGGAACTAATGACAAAGTTTTGTTTTATTTCAGACACTTACTTAGCGATCAAACTGATCCTTTCACTAAGGCTCCTCTTACATTAGACCAAGTTATACCAGATGTGGAACTTAAAGAACGAATTCAAGCTTGGAAAAGTGAGAGAAGAAGTCAGAAAGCAAGTGCGAGCTCTAGCCAAGAAAATGCCAATGAAATGGCATGATGCCACATTGTACCTCTTAAATTAAAAGAAATACCACCATTTATTTCATTGTTTTTTAAATTGTTTTGTTACTTGGGAAATACTTTGTTCATGTATCCTAGTAAGATGAATGATCCTATCTATTGTAGGTGATAAAATAATTTTTATTCACATTTTCCAATGAAATTACTGTGATAGTAAAAAGAAACTGTATCTACTTGTCAGTAGAAGGCTTATTGTAATTTTCTACATTTCCATTACTACTTTGTTGCCACTTTTTGATATGCTGATTTATTAAAGATTTCAGCTGGCAAACACTTGCAAGTGTTTACCATTTTATTTCTATACTTGTTGGTGATTTCCAGTTGGAAACTTGAAGTTAAATTTCGCTAACATTTTATGCATCCAAATTGTATTATTTTTTTCATGTGATAAAATCACTCTTGTGTAGCTATTTGATGAAACGTTGGCTTGATGGCACTGATAATAAAAAAAAGTGTGTTAGTTAAGTGCGTTGTTCAGTCTCGTCTTTCCCCTCCCTACGCCGGCTCGCCGCCGCGGGGCTCCCCCAGACCCCCGGCGGCGCGGTGGAGAGGGGAGCCCTTGGCCTCGGTGAAGCTGTGCGGCGGGCCTGTAGGCGGGCCTGGCCACCGGCCGCGCTCAGGCTCAGATCAGGTCGGGGAGTCGCCGCGCAGCCAACACCTACCTACGGCGAGTGTCGCCGCAGACATCCTTTAGTCCTCGACGTACGAAATCGAGGTAAGTCCTCCCATTCGACTAATCTGAGGCCCGAGGCCTACGAAGGGATTTTAATTTTCCTGTAAAGTATTTCTGAGACTTTTCCACAAGAAGTTTTTTTTTCTTTTTTC